CATTTGTGAAATAATTGAAAATTCACAGCAGGTCTAATAATGTTGACTTCAACTGTTTATTGCATAAAAACAAAACATCACGTTCAGTTTTTTTCTAATGATGTGCAGCTCTAATTGAGATGTTTCCAGTATAGAGTGCAGATCGTCCCTGTGAGTTAATCGAGGCCTTTAGATTGTTGCACGGTGGTTGTTTTTCAGGTTAGGTGTTGCTGTTGTATGCAGTAGCGTTTTACACTCTCCAATGTTTGTGCTATCAAAACAAGTTCACTGATCTGACTGTAGGTCCAATATCATGGATGAACAGAGCGGGAGACCTGAAACTATGTGAGCTTACACACACACAAACACACACACACACACACACACGTACACATGCACACAGGCACTAATCAGGTCCAGCTGTGTGTCAGTGTGTGTTATGTGGAGTTCACGTTGGAGAGTGTGTGACCATATGGCATAAAGCGTCCAATTCTTACCTCACCCCCCACCTTTCGTCATGGGACCAGGCAGGAAAGCCTCTACGACCAGCCAGAGTCGAACAGCAGATGTGAGTGTGTGTGAGAGAGAGATGGAATGTGTGAGTGGTTGTTCACCAAATCTACAGTGCAAACGCGCAAAACTGACCAGACTAGAAGACACACAGGCGATTTGAAAACAAAAGTGATGCTGTTTATTCGATTTCCTTGAAAACCTGGATTTTAAAATATTTTAAAATAATAAAATATTTTTATTTTATTATTCAGATGTATGAAACAAAGTCGAAACCCTTCTGGAACATTGAATTTAAACAGTTTTGCTGTTTGTTGAAGCCATTTCTATGGAAATAATAATATTTTAAGTTTATTTAGTAAAATCTGAGAAGTTTTTGTGTTGCAAATGAATCGTAGAAATTCTAATGTAAGCAGCAGTTAGCTAGTGATGTAGCATGATGTAATTTGATTGACAGTTAAATTCAATTCAATTCACTTTTATTTCTATAGGGCTTTTACAATGTAGAAGTTCAGTTCAGTTTAGCTCAGTTCAGTGTGGTTTAATAGCCACTACTAAGAGTCCAAACACTGAAGAGCAAATCCATCGATGCGCAGCTCTACAGATCCCGAACCATGGAAGCCAGTGGGGACAGTGGCAGGAAAAAACTTTACCAATTGGTGAAATTGAAGTATTAAAAAACCTCGAGAGAAACCAAGCTCAGTTGGGCACGACCATTTCTCCACTGGCCAAATGTCTTGTGCAGAGCTGGAGTCAAGGCGCCGGATGTGCAAAGAGTTAACTTGGAAGAAAAGTAAACAATCAAACGAAGACCTATGGATTCAAGACTTTTATTCACTGATGCTTTTGTATTGAGTACAAAAGAACTCTAAAGTCCTAAGCTATTGAGTCGGCTTATTGCGCTCACACTGTTTACCACCTTTTCAAACAGAATAAAAATCTCTATTAAAAAAGCTAAAATAATATTTTAAAAAATCATTAAAATATACAAATGTATATAAATAAATTTAAATAATAATATAATAAAATAATTAATAATTTAAATGTATTATTAACAGTTATGTATAGTTACTTGAGATTGATCAATAATATTTATTTTTAAATGATCAGTTTGTTTTTAGTTGAATTGATTTCTCTCATCACCTTACAGCATGAAGGTCGCTGGTTCGAGTCCCAGCTAGGTCAGTTGGCATTTCTTTGTGGAGTTTATAGGTGAATCGAATAAACTAAATTGACTGTATGTGTGTGAATGAGTGTGTATAGATTTTTCCCACTACTAGGTTGCAGTTGGAAGGGCACTCGCTGTGTAAAACATATGCTGGATAAGTGCCGAAACACTGTACAAAATTGACAAAAAATCTTTTTAAATATGTTTTGATAAAACCTGATATGTTTTCAAAAGGATGTGACAAACCTGAAATAATATAGTGAGCAGATTCTGCACAGGCATCGAAAAACAGACAAATTTTAATGCAATAAATTATCAACAAATTAATGACACATAGACTAACCGGCCACTTTATTAAGTACGCCTTATTAGTACCAGGTTGGACCGCTTTTGCCTTCAGAACTGCCTTAACCCTTCGTGACATAGATTCAACAAGGTATTGGAAATTTTCCTCAGAGATTTTGCTCTATATTGACATGATAGCATCACACAGTTGCTGCAGATTTGTGAGCCTGTGTAAACTGTAGCCTCAGTTTTTTGTTCTGAGCTGACAGGAGTGGCACCCGGTGTGGTCTTCTGCTGCTGTAGGCCATCCGCCTCAAGGTTGGACGTGTTGTGTGTTCAGAGATGCTCTTCTGCAGACCTCGGTTGTAACGAGTGGTTATTTGAGTTACTATTGCCTTTCTATTAGCTGGAACCAGTCTGGCCATTCTCCTCAGATTGTCTTGACAATGTCTACATGCCTAAATGCACTGAGCTGCTGCCATGTGATTGGCTGATTAAAAATCAATTCTGGTATGCAAAAACAGTTGGATGTTTCAGTGCGCCAACATATAGTGCAACAGCGCTGCAGGCATTTCAGATTCGAGTCTCAACTCACAAACCTTTTCCGATCCCATACCCCTCTCTCTCTCTCTTTTTTTCTTTCTCAATCTTCACTTCCTAACATCATACTGTCTTGTCAAAAATAAAGGCAAACATAACAATAAATACTTAAAAAAATTTAAAAAAAAAAACAAACAATCTGACCTGCCTTGCTCAACATTTTTTTCATAAACGCTATTATTTTAGTATATTATTTTAGTATATATAAATTGTTTTTCAATTACTTTTAGTTTTTTAAGTTTTAAATGTAGTTTGTTTTTGATTTTGTTTTTAATTGTAGTTAATAACTTTTTACGTTTCACGTTTTAGCTTGTGTGTGTGTGTGTGTGTGTGTGTGTGTGTGTGTGTGTGTGTGTGTGTGTGTGTGTGTGTGACTGTCGTTTGTTACGCAAAAAGGAAAGTTGTACAAATTGTAAATACTTCAATATGCTATTTAAAAATTAATGATTTATTTACGATTTTTTTTTGTAGTTTTCATTCTTTTAGATTATTTACATTTTAGTTAAAATTTTAGCTCTTTAACAGTTTTTTGGCTTTCAACCTAACATTTTGTTTTAAGTTTATCTTACATTTTTATTGTATCTTATTTCAGCATTATTTCAGTCTTCTGTTACGTGTTTAAGTTGTTAAATATTTAAATGGATGAAACGTAACAATCAGTGAGTCTACTGATGCTGGGTGAATGAGGAGAAGACACAGACGCTTGATAAGTAAAACAAAAAGTAAGTATTTATTAATGGATAACGTCAAACAATGAATATGAAATGTAAAGTAAATATAATTTTAGATAATTGAATTAAATAAAGAAAACAGGAGTGTTGCCAAAACAAAGAAATACATATAACAAAACGATATTACTAAACCCCAACCCACTAAACTGACTGATCAAAGAAAAATGCAGAAACAAAACCGTAATCTTCAGCACGTACCGTAGCTTAACTAAACTTCTTAACTCCCAAACATAATTACACATGTGGCAACGCCTCCATTAACTAACTAATACAAAATTATACTAAGCTGCTCACATTACTAGTATTCTCGTAAAGTACACACTGATAGCCATTAGCAAAACAAGATCTCAGGTAATCCAATTCTCATAAAGATCGTTCAAATTCTCACTAGACAGTAAACTTAGCAGCACAAGTTTAATTGATAAATCAATATCCACAAAGAGAAAACTAGAACACAGCACTCGCAAACGAACCAAGCGAAACAAACAAGTAAACAGTCCGGCCGACACAAGTGAAGAGACTGGCAAGCCAAGCGCACGGCTTTTATACTGCGCAGACCCAATCCTTATTGGCGCGCCGATTGAGTGACGAAGGTGATTGACAGCTCACTCGACCAATGGTAGCACACCTAAAACAGACCAGGATCCACAACAAGAGAGAAGAGCGCAAAACAGAAAACAAACAACAAAATACAACATACGTGAAACGTAACACTTCTAAAACAATTATGAATATTTAGTTGTCATTTTAGGCAAGGCAAGGCAAGTTTATTTATATAGCACATTTCATACACAGTGGCAATTCAAAGTGCTTTACATAAACAGGAATAAAAAAGACAAGTTTAGGAACATAAAATGCAGACAATAAAAATGATTAAAAACAGATAAAAACAAATTAAAATGAGTTAAAACAGGTTATAAAAGAATGAAAAAGAAAACGAAAAACATAATAGTGTGGTCTGTCGGACGTAGCACAGTGCTCATTCAGTAAAGGCACAGCTAAACAGATGTGTTTTCAGTCTTAATTTGAATGTACCTATTGTTGGAGCACATCTGATCATTTCTGGAAGCTGATTCCAGCAGTGAGGAGCATAGTGGCTGAAGGCAGATTTTAGTGAAATAACTTTACCACAAAGCTGTCTGAAGTGCAGATGTGCCAAATTATCATAACTCAACATGCTTCTAGTTGAATCAACAGTCGTCTACAGTGCAAGTGTGCCAGAAAAAATACACACACGCATGCACACACACACACACACACACACACACACACACACACACACACACACACACAAACACACACATACACACGCTCATAATCAACAAACCTCAAGTCATACCTGTCAGTTTGCAAAGTCAACAAAATGTGACTGTTTGTTGCGTAGACACTTTGTTCAGGTGTTTCTTTCTATTCAGATCTCTAATATTTTAGGATCTTTGGATTTAGCCTGCTCCAACATAACAAGCTGAATGTAATACAGACATGTTGCACATATATAAATTTGTAATTGTGTATAAATATGTTGAGCTCAACCTCGCCCTGGCACTACTGTACACACATTGATATGTGATATTGATTGCATGGTTGACTTGAGCAAAGTCGGGCCCAGAAGTTCAATATTTAATAGAGCATTGTGTGCTAGTGTTTGTACTTTAGTCATGTAATGCTGTATCATGTAGTGTCACGTGGATGAGGGTGTATTTAATGGTTTGTTTTGTCTTTCACAGGTGATCTGCATTTTGATTGGCTGCAGGCCGGTTATGGAGCATCTATATATTAGAAAGGTGAGGAGTGAGGGTTGTTTTGATGGTTTGACTCCAGAGGCCTAAATTTGTTTGTGCCAATACACCATGATTTTGCCAACTGCTAATCATTTTGATGATATAAAAGTGATAGTTCTCCCAAAAATGAAAATTTCCAATATGTAGGTGACTTTTTGTATCAGTGGTTCTTGGTGATCCATAAAATGACAGTAAATGGCGAGAGGTCTTTTAGATTTAAAAACAAACGCAAATAATTGAGTCGAAATCTTTAGCCATGGCTCCTGATGACCCTGAGGTCTTGTGAAGAGAAACGATCGCTCTGTGTAAGAAATTGAACATTATTTATACTATTATTAGCTTTAATCCACAGCCTTGGCAAACCCTTCTCGGTACATGTGCGAATGTAGTCCTATTGTATTCCTGTCGCTTTCATGACGAAAACAAGAGGACACACTTGGACAGGAGATCAGGTGATGCAGTTGTTGATATTGTGATATATTGATTACATTCACACATGTCGAGAACGGTTTGGATTAAAGTTAATATTATAAATCGCATTGAAATGAGCTGAAAATCTTCTTTAACCTTTGTGTGTTGTTGGAGATGTTTTCATCCGTTCTGGGGTAATTTTGAGTTTTATTTGTCCAAATAATTTATTTGTCCAACTTTCTCTGTGTTTCAGCAAATCTAATGATTTTTGGTGACATTTTATTTTATCATTTGTTTTGGAAAAATGCTGTGAATTTATAAAAATGTTTTTTTGTTTTAATGGACTTTTCTTTCGTTGGTGTTCTTGCTGTAACTGTTTTTAATTGTGAATAAGTTAGAATGGCAAGTTTGCCCTCTCTGATGATAATATTATCTCACTGACTGATGAGAGGAGGATCTGATGAAAAGCGTCACCAATATTTAGGTATAAAGATAAAAAAATGGGCGATGCAGTGGCGCAGTAGGTAGTGCTGTCGCCTCACAGCAAGAAGGTTGCTGGTTCGAACCGCGGCTCAGTTGGCGTTTCTATGTGGAGTTTGCATGTTCTCCCTGCCTTCGCATGGGTTTCCTCCGGGTGCTCCGGTTTCCCCCTACAGTCCAAAGACATGTTGTACAGGTGAATTGGGTAGGCTCAATTGTCCGTAGTGTATGAGTGTGTGTGTATGTTTCCCAGAGACAGGTTGCGGCTGGAAGGGCATCCGCTGCGTAAAAACGTGTAGGATGAGTTGGCGGTTCATTCCGCTGTGGCAACCCCCGATTAATAAAGGGACTAAGCCGACAAGAATGAATGAATGATAAAAAAATGTTATGTTGTATATTTAAAGAAATATACATACACTGATATATGATGTTTTAAGGATGCCTAAAATGGTTTGAAATACAACAAAAAAAGTTTTGAAATAAACAAAAAACAAACAAAACATTTCATTTATTTATTTATTTATTCATTACAGTAATGGCTGAGATTTTTTTGAAGAACCTAGATATCCACTCTCTTGCAAGACTGTATATATATATATATATATGGGATTAATCTGATTTATTTCACGTGTTTTACTTAATAAACTACTGATAATCTGTCTAGAGATTTTATTAGCTAAAAATTATGTTAGGTCACTATTATATATATATATATATATATATATATATATATATA